TGAGCGTGCCGCGAAGTAGCTTTTTTGACTAGTAGCTGGCAAAGCTCCTGGCAAGTTGACTGTCTCAAAGTAGGGCAACCTGCTGAGGCGGGCAAAACGACTGTCTGGCCGGCTCATGCAGTGCAGAGACACTGCCACCTGTAGATTCCCTTGCCGACTGATTCTCCGCTGGTTGCTCCTGGCCGAGGCTCAGGGGCGCTCCCAACAGGGTACCACGCAGGCCACCCTCAAGGCCCCGCGTGTCAAGCTTGGTTCCTGTTTTTTGTGGATCTTTGCAAATTCTGCAGGTGTTTTTCTGCCGCAGCCTGGGATCCACGCTGGCCAGGCCTGGCCTGGAGTTTCGAGGACCCAAGAAGCTCCTTTTACGTCCACGGGCCTGTCTGGTCTTGTGAAAATTCCGGCATGGAGTCTTACACACGCGCTCTTTCTTTAGGCTTGGGGAGGTCTGGTGTGCGGCTAAGGGACTGCGCCGCAGGTGATCTACTCTTGTACCATGTCGTCTGGGCTTCAATGGGGCCGGAGAGGGGCCGGATGGTCCCGTCCGGAGACTGTGGGCTGTGGGTTCTTTGGCATCCCAAAACCCTGCCCGTTGGCCCTGGCACTTGGACGTTCCTACCGTAGATAGACTCTTGAGGACGAAAAGTCCCTAAAGCCTTAGATTCCCTTAGACCTGATAGATTCTTATTACATCGACGCCAAGCTGGTTGCATAGAAAAGCCACGAGCACCAGGCCAAGATGTGTTTTGAAAGAGACTGCTCAGGGTTTGGAGTTTACGGTTGGGCTTTGGTTGAGGGTTTCGCAGGGGTTCTTCTTCTTGGAATGTCTGTGTGCAACAGGGCCTAGTGCCCTAGTAGCGGCGCTTACAGTCTTGCATGTCTTTAGGATTCTGGGTGCCACCCACAATCTGCAGCCACCCCTTGTGGGGCTTCGGGTTTGTGAAGCCGGGCAAAGCTCTGAGCGCTAAGCCTGTTGGGTATATGGCTCAATATTCCTGCAACAAGTGTTTGAGACTGTCTTGAGGGTTTGGGTGCGCCGCCCATCTTTTCCCATTATGCACAAGGATAAAAACCATTTACCAACATGTCCATTGTTTGCACTTGCGTCGGATTTTCGTGTTCGCTCGATTTTTTTTTCGCGTGGCAGGCGCAGCAATTTCGGCAGTAACTATATGTGTCCTCACGACAAGTAGCCGGACTTGGGTTTTTACAAACATCAAGACCTCAGAGAGACGCATTGTTGCTCATTGGACGTCCGCCTCGGCACAAAAGAGCTTTCCTGCAGTGGCAACACGTACACCAAGACTCCAGCGCCGCAAGACGTGCTGTCGACGTCAGGGTTCAGATCTTGTGCAGACTCTGCGGATCGGGAGCTGTGCTTCAGGCATAGGTGCCAAGTGCCTGATCTGACGCGCTTGTAATCTGTACGGATGCTCTCCGACAGGAATGCAACGAATACGGGATGTGCATAGTCTGGGAGGTGGAAGTCACTTGAGGAGTCCAGTGCCGGCATGTTTCCATCTCGAAGGGCATTCCCGGTGCACGAAACATCAATGCGGATCCAGCCTCGCCGGCCCGAATCCTTTGGCAAGAATTGTACCTCCGCTATGAAGCGCCGGATTTATTGGAATGCTGTGCTCTTGCAGGCTGGTGCAACCTCGACGTGTGTGCCTTACAGCGTCATCTCCGATGTGAGTATGTGATATCTCAACTGGAAATGGGACGCAGGGCAGAGGTGGAAGAGCATGGGACTTGAGGTCCGGAAGCCGCGGCAGCGTTGGCTCATCGCCGGCTTCGTCACCCGTGGAGGATTCAGGTGATCAGAAGAGTGCTGGCACTGCTTGATATGTGAAGCAAGTTCTGTAATTCCGCATTCAAGTGGCCACGGACAACCTTCCGTCTGCAGTGTGGACTGCCCCTTAATTTGTCCTGTTCGAGCTTGCCCCGCATTCTTCCGACCTCGAGACCGCTGGCAGGCTTGAGCAAAGGTTCAATATCTCAGCTACAGGAGCAAGCCTGGCGCAGTTTGCAGAAAGGTTGCTAGAGGGCAAGTCGAGGTGGCCTGATTCGATTGATAGAAACATAGTTGGCAGCAGAGGCACGTACTTTGTCGGTTGTTTACCCAGTTGTACTACGGCGAAGCCAAGCATTCCATCACCTGCCTGCATTTACAACTGTTGCAACCTGACAAAGGTGAACAGCTTTTTCCGCTGATTGCCAGGTTCGTCCAGGGCGCGAAACTTTTTCCTATGCCGCCGAACTGCCCAGTGCTGCAGCCCTCATCCCAGCCTAGCCTGCAACGTGTGTGAGAGCTCGGCCTTCTTGCCACGAAGGCAGTTGTGCTTAGCGGTTCTGGGAAGCAAGGCATGACTTTTTGAAGCTTCAACCACAACTTTCTCGCGCAGCTTTGCAGACTGACTGTGATGTTGTTGCATAAATATGAGAATCTCGGACCCCATCTTCGCCCCGTGCGTGATTCCGAGCTGGCAAGGTGGGACTACGACACTCGCATGGTAGGAGCCCGAGCTGTGATGTGAGAAGATTTGCGCTGTGCGCTTGGGCATTTATTGAATGAAGGTCGGGACCACACTGGAGTTTCGTGCGGTTTGTTCGTTTCTGCTGGATGGCGTGGCGCACCACACAGTCGGGGCTGGGACCTTGGTAGCGTTAGCAGCGTGACTGCCACGGCCTTTTCACCAAGCCTGTCTCCATCCATGTTGTACAAAGTGGAGTGCATCGCAGTTGCAAGGGGAAGTGACAGTTCCATGTGATGTCTTGGTCTGCTCGATTCTTGAGATCTGGCGGCCTTCGAAGAAACTCGCCCAGCGTGATGCCGCGGAGAGGGTCTGAGCCTCTGCTGGAGGAGTGAGTGAACATTGGCTCCTTGTTTGCACTGACTGTAGAAACGCTTTGCAGACGCTTGGCCTCTTCGTGAGCCGATGGGCCTCGTTGATTACCTTGGATGAGCTCGCAGGAGCGCGTTGACGAGCACGTTGAAGTGGTTTCGGCTGTGCTGTGAATGGGAGAAATAGGCCCATAGGATCCCATAGGCCTCACACATCCTCAAACTACTCTGCAGCGTGTCAGCGAAAGATAAAATGTTGGACTGCACCTTGCAAAAGAGTATATAGCCCAGCACGAAACAAAAAACCTACAATCGACCTAAGTCGGGAATTAGTCCCGGGCGGTGCTGGAACGGGCCTGAGTGCAAGCGCCCACGCCAGGAACTCGTGACCAGGACCCGCTGCCTGAAGCTCGAAGCGAGGCTCGGGTTTCGAGTCTCGAGGGCAGATACCACCTCGGGCGATCTATGCTTCCGTACACGGTCCTGTCATGCGAGGTGGAGCTGTTGGAAAAGTTTTGCCAAAGGCACGGCAAGCTAGCACACCGGCTCTTGCACATTGAATGTTGGTCAAGTGACAAGTAACCAATGCTTTTTCCTAGCTGCGGCAAGCTGCGGCAAGCAGTGCGGTTCAAGAGCTTCTCGCGGGCATCCCGCAGGCTCTCGTGGGATTGTCCTGCGGCGGTTAGCTGGAGCCATCGGCCTGAAGCCGAGCATGGTACGAAAGTCTCCAGGTGACTGCGTGATACTCCGTAGCTCGGCTGTGGCTCAGTCAGCAACGACACGACACACAGTATGAATTTGCCAGTTCCTGTCAGGTGGGAGGATGGACTTTGTCAGGCTTTCGCTGAAGTTCGTCTTCTGGATGCATGGAGCTCGGTACTGTACTGCGTGCATGGTGCTGAACTATGGGCGCAAAACATATCTGCGAGTCGTCATGCTGGCCCAGGTGCCGCACACCTTCCCTAGCAAGAGTCACTCCACCCAGGAGGAGTGGTCCTGCGCATCTGAGTGAGAGGCATGAACTTTCCTGTGTCTTTTGGTTCTTGTGGCATCATCTCGCCGAGCCTCCAGCTAGCACTTCGGTATGTCATGGCATGTCTCTTGCATTGCAGGAGGCTTACGAAGATGCTGCTCGCAGAGTACTGTGGTACTTGCAATGCCCGGGATACGAGGACCGGCCTTCTGGTCACTCGCAAGCCCACTTAAATGGAGCGCCTTTGGTCCGAGGAGAAGTTCGAGCCCGACACCAGCTACGTCAAGGCAGTTGCACAGGCACGGCGAGGGCCGAGGGTCGCTCATTAGGGAATTTGTGCCCTTCGAGTTGTGAATGGCGAAGCAGGATCTCTTCGGCAAGGAGTCATGAACAGATTCCGTACCTGGTGGTTGCTTTACGTACCATGACTCTCTGTATCGGTGTATAGTATGAAATCATGCAATCGTTAAGTAGAAGCACAAGACATTCTCAAATGCTAACCTTTTTCAATGGCTCCTACTGGCACGCTGGGACCGTGCGAGATGTCCACGTCTTCGCATGTGCAGAGAATGCCGTGCAAAGGACATTCCAGAACCTAGCGCATGCTGGAACAAGGATGACAATCTGCAGGAAGGCGGGATTCCGTGACTGGTGAACACTCAGTCCAGAGATGTCGGGCATTCAATCTCCGTGGCTCCTTGAAGGAGCATTCCTCAAAGCAGGGTTCAAGGAATGGCCTAGTGTCGCTGAAAAGTAGACACAACCTACATTGCCACAGGCTGCACATGTCTTCTGCTCGTGCCCGGTAGAAGCATGGCCGAACGGTGATGTTTGGAATTCAGATCCCGTCCCGTACACCTTGAGTGCGAGGGATGGGGTGTGTACTGGGCAGATGACTTTGTCTCGTCGAGTAGCTACTCGCTGTTTTCCGAGCCTGGCAGGGGAGAAGTCCCTGGCAGAGAAGCAGAGTTTCATCTTGAGGGCCTTTGCCTGAGGAGCTGCTCTGGGCCGGTCGGCTGGTCTTTAAACTTCCTTTCTGCACTCTCGGTGTCAGGGAGGGCACAGATAGCTCCGCCAAACCGCAGAAGAGAATTGAACGTAGTTGTCAGGTGAGGCACACTCCCCAGCCAATGTTCAGGTGCAAGATCGCCTTCAACAGGTCCTGCTGACTGTTCTTAGAAGTGAGAGACTGCTGTCTGTCTGTCTGTCTCTGTCTGTGTGTGTGTGTGGAGCTACGCATCTAAGCAGGAGAGCCATCTCGTTGGAGATTTCGTATTTCGTAGTGTCTGTGCATGATTCGTGCGCCTAAGTGTGCACAGCGCAGTAGCATTGCATCCGAATGCGAGCGTGCTCATGTGTTTTTTGGGGAGGCAGAGTCGTAGAATACATCTTATTGAGCCCGTTGACTTGCTTCGACTGTCCTTGCTCGCATGTCTCGT